CGAGAATATGGGTAAAGCAAACCAAATGAAAATCTTTCATGTTTATCCATATACTACAAAGAAAACAAAACTGAATGGAGTCATAGCATAAAACATTCCTGTTTATCCAGTAAGCATGGCAATAAAAAAAAAAAAAACTGACGATTGCAAGGGTTTTTGAGGGAGCTTCTTCAGATTCAGTTCGAAGCAAGAAACATACCTTTCAAAGAGCAAATTCGGTTTGAAGTGAAGGTTCACAGAGAAATGGTGGTGGAGCTTGCTTGCAGAGAGGATGGCGGTGAGCTTCTTCTCAGTTCGAAAATGGGGTGAATGACCTAATTTTTTTTTTGGTTTTATGTGAAGGACAAATTGTTGTCACTTTTAATTTTTCATGAGGATAATATCATCATTTACCGAGATCTGAATAGCCTCTAAGCGCATTAAGCACTCGCCCAACCACTTTCGTTTTAAGATCTGAAAATGCAGTTCAGACCTAATATTAAGATGCACACCCAAACACTGGTGGCATCTGAAAAGCAACTATTTCAGACTTTAGAGGTCTGAAATAGGTTATCAAACGCCACCTAAGTAAATATATTACAAACTATAGGGGGTGTTCTACTAAATGACACAAAAATAAAATAAAAAAGACTAAAGAGTTATAATAGTGCCTACCAAAATGCCCAGAATTATATGATTCAATTCAGGTTGTCTGATTGGAAGAATTTCGAACACAACGGGTTCTCATATTAAGGTTTGGAACTTTTGAAAATCTAACAAATTATCAACCCAATCTGTGGTATGGTTAATGGGCCTCACGTGTACCCAAATAATAGAGAACTCATTTATAAAATCCTTAAGAATAAGACCTACTAGTTTTGTTGTTGGTAATTCTTCTACCTAACATTCCTTAGAGAATGGCTTTGGGTTTTGTTTTCGCTTAACATTGTTTACCACAGCTCAATACATACAAAATCTTATATTTTGTATTATTTTATATGTATTTATGCTATACATATTTACATTTGTACTCTTTCCAAACTGAGCCAGTCCAAAATTGAATGAAAATATATATGGTAGCAGCTGGTGAAAGAGTGGTACAACCTGCTATTTTAAATCTTGAAGCAATGGCAATGAGAATGAGGTCTTGCGGAGGCAGTCAACTATGGAGCTCAGTTCCTATATAGTTGCCGAATCTGATTCAAAAGATTTAATTGCAGCAATTTCTCAGGATTCAGAAATGAAGTTTAGTGAACTTTGGCCTATATAGTACAGGACATAAGAGTCTTGGTTCAAAGGTTCCAGCATATTTCCTTCTGTTGGATTAGTAGGATTTCGAATCGAGTAGCGCATAAAGTGGCAAATTTCTGTTCCCGTTCAAATGGCTGGCACGGTTGTGCAGCTCATGGACCTCTTTGATCAGAGACCTTATTAAATGAAAAAAAAAAAAAAACATAAATCAGTTTTTAGACACTGGGTGTGAATTGTGATGGACCTCTCCCTTCTAAAATCAGCTTTTAGAAGAAGAGTTTTCAGCTGGGTGTGATGGAACAGGGCGGCCAGATTCTACAATGTAAAAACCAAAACCATTACATCGGTTTGGGTTGAGATTCTGTGAATAATATTCAACAAATTTGCAATCCAATCGGGTCCACTGGGGCAGCATGCCACAGAGATTGAAGATAGATTCAAGGCTGAAATTGTTAAATTTGCATCTGTAAAAGGCTCCGCCTACAGTATACTTGGGCGCCGGTTGGCTTCTTAAACCGCTAGGTAAGCATGGGTTTTATTAAAAGAGGGCCCAGGTGAGGGCAGAATTGGGTTTTTAAATTTTAAAACGTTTCACATGATGTCTGTCACAACTCACATGTAAGCAGAATTTGACATCCACTAAGGAAGGCAATATGTGTCATATTTCTGAAATTTCAGGGATAATTTAAGGAGTATCATATTTAAAAGTTTGAGGGTACCTTAAATAATTGTCAGATAGTCAGGGGTGCTTTTAACTAAATCATCCGTTCTTGACGCATGTATCTGCAAATTATCAAACTAGAGAATAAAAATAATAGAGTATCAAAGTGATTAAAGGCTCCATAGTCCATACTAAATTTTTTTAAGTATCAACCATGTCAATACTTTAAACCATGTCTAAGACCAAAACACTTTTAGTTTTAAGCTCAAATTTTGGGGTTTAAAATCACAATTAATGAAGCATATTCAAACATAACCTATTCGTGAGATTACTTTCAAATAGGGAGAAAAATTGACCCTGCAGAGCTATAAACATTCAAAAGGTCAAAATTTCCATTTTATATACTAATGTTTGTCCGTGAATTGGCATCCACCTCTTTGGGCCTAAAAATTTTGACCCTGGGCTGAATCGTCGTTCTCCCAAAAATCTAGTGACGTATAACAAACATTTTATAGAGGCAGAAAACAGAATAAAAAGAACTCAAAAATTTTCTATTATCCTTTACACCTTTCAATATGGGATTTTTAGAGGTGTAAAGTGGACAGTGCCGAGTAGGCACAACACAGCCCACAGGCGGCCCGCGCAAAGTGCGAACCGTGCCGCCCTCCCAATGAAAATTTTAGAAATCGGCTTGTCACGGCCCACGGCCCAGGCTGGCCCATGGGCCAAGCCTTGGGCCAGGTCAAGCTGTGCATCGAGCCAAAGCTATTTATTTAAAAAAGTTGACAAAAAACTTAAAATTTTACTTTTATATGAATTTTGTGTATACAATTACTTATCTATATAATAATTAAATAAATTAGTATAATAAAATTTAAAAAAATTATTTATTTTATTAGTATATTATTATATAATATTATATAATATATATAATATATAAATAATATATATGAACCGTGTCAGGCCATGCCGCAGGCCGTACTAGGCCGTGTTAGCCCACGGGCCACAGGCGGCACAGTCCACTCGGTCGTGCCATGTTGTACCAGCCCGTAAACCTAAAACTCCAGGCCCAACACAACCCACATAATCATACCGGGCCTAGCACGGCCTGATTTACACCTCTAGGGATTTTCTATTGTATTTCTTATGGGCTGTGGCTCCTCTTTGTCACACACAAGACGAAGACCCAAGTACGTTCATAGAGGAGGATGGGGATGTTGGTGGTCTGGCTTAAAAGAAAATGAAAATTACAAATAATTGGAATTGTTGGAGTGAAGGGCCAATAGCATACTCTGATTGATTAAACAATATGAGGATTCGAAAATGTTGTAATTCTAGAACAGTGACTGAAGTTGACGATGAAATGATCTTTTGAATCGAGAAAAACAATACGTATGGGAAAAACAAACTTGACTCTCTATTTGTTCAACTTCTTTCCTGCATTATAGTGTAAGATTTGAAAGAAAAGTCCAACATGAATTTCTAAATAAGAAATCAAACAAATATGGTCTTACCAAATAAATAATTCACTTATTCAAGTAATGTGAAGTAGGCTACTGGTTGCATTGTTATTATAATTTGGGGTACGTAATATACGGGGCGGCGGAGTTAGAAATTTTTTATGAGGGGCCAAAATCTAAAGTTGATTAGAAGAGGGGGTAATAAATATAATTGTCAAAAGACTAATTAAGGTTGGCATCTAAGTATACCTCACCCAGGTAAGGTTCAAATTATTGCAGCATATAATACCATATTCATTCTGTACGATGTTATATATAACTGAAATGTCAGGAAATGAATCAGTTGATAGGTTGAACACCAAAGGTCCGTTTGGTTTACAATCTAAATTAGAATTGAAATCCATGGAAATTGGAATGAAATGGTCTATTCCCCTACCTGTTTTGTTTTTGGTTCAGATGCAAATCCAAATCCAAATCAACTGGAATGGATTCTCGTTGCCCACATTGAAATTTGAATCATTGGACACTAGAAAAATGAAATCAATACTTAAGATGATAAGAATATATATCGATACTCTGAACCTTACCCCCCAGTAGCACCCTAAATAGCGATAGGCTATAGCTGAGACCCTGGGACCATCGTTAGGTAAGTAATTGCCCTTCCGGCAAAGGTTCAAACTCATGCTTAAAACTTAAAAGTGATTCTGCCGAATTAGTGTACACCAAAATACCAAATGGCAATTGGCAAATAATGGCAACTTTTCTTCCACGTCCAAATCACCTACAGTTTACACATAAATAATACATAATACCATGCCGGACCTTACCGGACGATTGGATCGGAAAAATCGAAAACCAGTCAGGTGATTGATTCTATTTTACTCCAAAATTTTTATTTCCCTAAAAACCATTGATTTAGTCAGTAAACTGTTGATCCATGTGATTGAACAGTTTGGTTGGTTTTTAATTTTTTTTATCAGAACAGACCGTCCATTTGATTTGAACGATCGGACCATTCAACCCTCCGATTCAATTTTAAAAACATGGACCAATCACGCAGTCGAATGCTGACATTCTCATCCTCATCAGGAGGAACTTAAATGACTTGGCCAGTACTGATTGGTCCAGCATAGCATTTTCGAAAAAAGAATCGTATAGCATAAGGCACTTGGTTGTTATTTTTTGTGTGCGATTAATGATACGGTTGTGTGTGTTTATCAGAAACAGGGGTTGATTGAATTGAACAGCACAAATGCAAATCAAGAGTAGCTCAAGGACTCAATAAGGTGGGCTTTAGAGAGAAAATAATAGAATCAACAAAATGGTGAAAATATATATATATTAGGTACGGATGGATTCATTGCAGCAACTCTCGCAAAGATATGTGGTGCATATAAATCACAGAGCAATCATTATTACGGGAGGCGGGGCGTACTGATTCTATCAGTTTCTTTATATAAAACTGCACATTACGCGGTGTAAGAACAATTAACGATCAACAAAATTAAGAGGGAGAGAAAGAATTGAACAAGGAACTGTCATTGTCAAATGTTGATTAAAAATGGGGCTGTAAGCACTGTGACCACAAAATTTTGTGTCCTCGATCAATTATTGATATCGTACAAACTTCATTCATCCCATCACTCTTTGCCACTCTTAAACGTGGAGAACGTCGATCAACAACACCTCTCCTGCCGACCCTATTGCTTTCCCTCCTCCTGGCCCTTTCAACTATTCTTTTCCGTCCACCTCTCTCTCTCTCTCGCCCTCTTCCTCCCAGCCGCCTATTATTTAAACCTCATATACCACACAAGTTCAACTGCAAGTCATCCTCGATCCTTCTCTGCCCCATCTAACATCTCCTTTCTCTGTCTCTCTCTGGTATAACCATGGTAAGAACAAACACAATGTCCATGAGTCTCTAAGGACTCTTCCTCTGTTTCTCACACAACTTTCACTTAATTTTGACAGGTTTTAGTAGCAACCCACGTCGATAAAGACGGTGGAAATGATGGAATGGTTGTAGATTTTCGTGGGAACCCGGTCGACAAGTCGAAGACCGGTCGATGGCTCGCCGCGGGTCTCATCTTAGGTGAAATTCATTTTCACGAAAACGTGTGCACAAAGAATGGATTTTCCTCTTCTAGGTTTCATGTAGCTACTTATTTCATGTCCAAAGCATTTTTTTTTCTTTTTCTTTTTTTAATTGTTGCAGGAAGCGAACTCTCCGAAAGAATATGCGTGGTTGGTATTTCGATGAACTTGGTTACGTACTTGGTCGGGGAATTACATATTTCCACCTCCAAATCTGCAAACATTGTGACCAACTTCCTGGGCACCCTCAACCTTCTAGCCCTCCTTGGTGGTTTCTTGGCGGATGCTAAGCTTGGGCGTTACTTGACTGTCACAATCGCTGCAACTTCAACAGCTCTGGTACAAAGCCAGTTCAGCCCTCTGAGCTGATGAACCAATTCGATCGATCAATTCTGTTGAAAATAAAACAGTACTGTAATAACTAACTAATTAACTATATATATATATATATATATATAATTCCTTTCTGTTGTCTTACGCCTGCAGGGTGTGACTTTGTTGACAATAGCGACGACCATTCCTAGCATGAGACCCCCACCATGCACTGATTACAGGAGGCAACACCATGAGTGTATAGAGGTCAACGGCCGGCAACTGGCTTTGTTGTACACAGCCCTCTACACTATTGCACTGGGCGGTGGTGGCATAAAATCTAATGTTTCGGGTTTTGGTTCCGATCAATTCGACATCAACGATCCCAAGGAAGAGAAGGCAATGATTTTCTTCTTCAACCGCTTCTACTTCTGCATCAGCCTGGGCTCTCTCTTCGCGGTTACAGTTCTGGTCTATATGCAAGACAATATAGGGAGGGGATGGGGATACGGCATATCCGCCGGCACCATGGCAATTGCAGTTGTTATATTGCTCTGTGGAACCAAGTTCTACCGCTTCAGGAAGCCTCAAGGGAGTCCATTGACTGTGATATGGAGAGTGTTCTGCTTGGCTTGGAAGAACAGGAACCTCCCTTACCCCTCTCATCCCAGCTTTCTGAATGGCTTCAACGATGCCAAGGTCCCCCACACCGAAAGATTCAGGTAACTAATTACCTCAATAATCAATATTCGATATATAGCTAGAGCTAGTCACTCAGCTCCTTAATTGCAGAATGCAGATTCCATTAGTAAGTAGTAACACGTGTGTGATTGTGTCACCGTTGATTGGTCGAAATGGTACGAATGTTTTCGACCAGTAAAAGCTGATAAGAATGGTAAGTAGATTGAATTCAGATTCTATATGAATCATACAAAATGTGGTAGACACCGCACCACCAAAAGACAAAAATGTGCACATCACAGATGGATGCACCTTGTTGTCTAGTCTGGACTTATCCATGGACCATGGTCCTGATCAGTCCAGAGCCTGCGGTCCAGTTTTAATTTGTTGTTGGCACTTGGCAGAGGTGGGGCAACTGTACCGATTTCATGCAATCAAGGAATACCACAGCCACGCACGAAAATTTTGTCTTTAATTAATTTTCTTTTAAGGCCCATCTCTACGCCGGCCAGAAGTGTGAGTACGTACTCTGGAACAATTTGTTAGTTTGGTTTCTTTTCATGTTTTCTTGCTCACAAAGGGCCATCACAGATCACACTTCACACGTACACCATGCATCATCATGGTTCATGGGGTGTGAAGCCGAACCAATTCCGTCCATTTCTTCTGGACGGTTGGTTAGACCGTATGCCCGACCATCCTTTTGTAGTTTTGCAAAATTCCTTTTGGCCACTGGAAAAAAAAAATATATATATATAATTATTAATTGCATCCAAAAATAGGATTGATTGTCAAGACATAGACACCACCAAACTCCTCCGTCTTCACTCTTCACCATGATAATAATAACAATAAAACCTCCCATCACCCATCCACGTACATGGGCCATTTGGATGATTTATCAAAGAAAGAACGCTATTAATTTGCCCCCCCCCCCCAAAAAAAAATCCCAACTTATATATATATATATATAATAAAACAACTTATATCTTTACTCTTGCACACGTGCTTATGTGACCTTACATACACTACCCCTTTATATTTTGATTCTTTCTTATAAATTGCCGTTATATATATAAACCAAATAGGACAATTAATTAAGGATCATCGCCATCATGCATCATCTGAACCTTATGTGGTCGAGTCGGACTGTATGAATCTTGTTTTGCCATTTGGCGTCACATCCTGAACATCTCTTCTAGGTGGCATGGTCTCGATCCTTAGATTTCTTTTTCCATAATTGATCGAGCTCCTGTGAAATAACATGCAGGTGTCTCGACAAGGCTGCAGTTGTAGATAGCTCCAATGGAAAGGGAGACGAGATGTACAGGCCTTGGACAGTCTCTACTGTGACCCTGGTTGAAGAGGTAAAGATGGTACTGAAGCTCATCCCCATTTGGTCCACATGCATTCTCTTTTGGACTGTCTACTCTCAGATGACAACCTTCACAGTGGAGCAAGCCACAATCATGTATAGAAATATCGGTTCCTTCACTGTCCCATCTGGCTCTTTTTCTTTCTTCCTCTTCACCACCATCCTCCTCTTCACTTCACTGAATGGAAAAATCCTGGTCCCCCTCGCTCGAAAATTCACTCATAGCGTTCAGGGCATCACAAGCCTACAGAGGATTGGCATAGGTCTCATTCTCTCGATGATAGCTATGGTAGCTGCTGCCATAATTGAGAGGCAAAGGAGGGATGTCTTTGTTCACCAACAAAGACGCATAAGTGCCTTCTGGTTAGTTCCTCAGTTTTTCCTCGTGGGAGCTGGTGAAGCTTTTGCCTATGTTGGACAACTCGAATTTTTCATCAGAGAGGCCCCTGAAAGAATGAAGTCCATGAGCACAGGACTCTTCCTTAGTTCTGTCTCTATGGGGTTTTTCGTCAGTAGCTTATTGGTGTCTTTGGTGGCAAAGGTGACTAAGCATGGTTGGATTAGGAACGACTTAAACAAGGGGAAGTTGGACAACTTCTATTGGATGCTTGCTGTGCTTGGAGTTTTCAATTATTTGGTTTTTCTCGTCTTTTCTATGAGACATCAGTATAAGATACAACACTATACTACTTCATACAGTGATGAGGAGCTCAAGACTTGGAAGAATGAACAACATTCTAAAGATACCGAGGAGAATATTGAGAGTATTGAAGTAAAGGACTCTGCTATTGTTTAGGTACTGTTTTTTCTTTTTTTTTTTTAATATGATATACTTGATTCAAATGTGTAATTTCATGTTGTGCTATTTTCTTTCTCTTCACTGGTCTCTTAAAGAGATGAGCATGTAAACCACATAAGCTGCTGAAATTAACATACATGCCAAGGTGTTGAAGAGATAGAACCATTATTTTCCACGCATGATTATGTATTCAAAGTTCACAAGGATTTACATTGATGGACTACAAAATCATTGGGGGGGGGGGGAGCGATCTCACTGAGAACAGATTTTCATGGTGCCAAGTCTGAATACAGCCTTCACCGGGAGGCAAGAGGAAGAAATGGGTATGACTTGCCTTTCCTTAACCTATATCACAGTTACTCAGTTCAACTAAGTTAAGCCAAAACCTTTTTGAGACGAGCTACAAGATCCTACTTCACCATTTTACTAAGTTTAGGACCATACAATCTGTTAGACTGTAGGCCCTCAAGTCTCTAACCACATTTATCAACATTCATTTTCGAAACTTTAGAGCCTTCAACTTGCAAAAATCAGAGCTTCGACAAATGCAGGAATTGGTCTTCAAAGCAAAGCATATGATTAGATGATGACTTCCCCTCAACTTGTTACCTACTGAGGCTACCCCTGAATTATTAAGAGAATCTGTTTATTGAAACTTAATTCCTCCTACTTTTTCTCCTAACCCATAGAGTGTCAATGAACCGGTTTTGGATTGGACAAAATGAATTTAGACGGATTGGAAGGACCGAAAATACATATATTGAATTGTGCCAGTCCGGACTTAATGGTCCAAAAGTATTTATTGGATTGGATTGGACCTGGTCCATCCATAATGAATGTATATTGGATTGGGTTGGACTGAGCCAATATGTGGCCCATTGGTATAAAATAAGAATTTAGGTGTCAATGGACCAAGTTTGGATTAGAATCAATCTAAATTAAAATAAATTTGAACAGATTGGACAGTCCAGACACTGAATTGGACCAGTCCAAAATGTTCCAAAATATTCATTGGATTGGACTGGGCCATTTGTAATGGACTCACATTGGACTGGATTGGAATCGGATTGGACCAAATCCAGTCCAATTGGCACCCCTACATATCAGCACCATCATAACCATACTAGCTATGCTTATTAAGGGGGTGTTCTACAATATGAGTTTTTTTTTTCTTGTTGTCGGTTCCAAAAACAAATCAAACCAATTTAAAAACAGATTGTTTCTTAAAACAAAAACACAAGAAAAATGTTCTTGGTTGGTTGTGTATGTGTTTTTTGTTTTCGAAACTGAAACAAAAACCATGTTCTTGAATCTAGTTTCAAAAACATGATTTCATTTGATTATTCAATATCATGTTACATAAATCATATTAATTATTAAAAAATTATTTTTGTTTTAGAAATCAATATTTTGTTGGCAACTCTAAAAGCAAATGTTTTTTTTTTTTTTGCTTATGTGGCGATTCTAAAAGCAAATGAAAACAAAAACATTCATGTTATAGAACGCCCCTAAATGGACATGTTTCTTGATTCCCAAAAGTTTTGTCCCATGTAACATCGTTGATCTTATAGCCATGTCAGTTTCCCTTCAATAAGTTTGGTATCACCCAATAACATAACAAAGCACAATCCACATCATCCACCAGCTCTACTCATATGGGCAACTAGGGGTGACCATTGTTTGGTTAAAACCTAAAAAACAAACTGAAATTTCAGTTTTGTTTCTGGTTTTTAAGATTAAAAATTTGGTTAACCGAATTAACCAAAATTTATTATACATGATATAATATAATATAATATTTCACCAAATAATATTTTTTTGTTTTTAATAATTCAATTTATTTGGTTCATTTTTTAATTGAATAAACTAAATGTTCTTCTTAGGACAAAATCACTTCAAGGTCTTCCTTTAAAGATAACTGAATCATCACAACAAGGTACAACTATCTCCTTCAATGTCTCCCTTACCCCAACCAAGAACTCTCAGCCCCTCTTCATTTTAGCCTTCCTTGCTCTCTCATGAAGCCACCTCATCACTCTCTTTCTCCCTCTCTCATTTTGATATCTGAGAATGCCTGATCCATCCCTCTTTCCTCTATGTTTATCCCTTTGGATATCACTTCCTAAAACATCTGAGCATGCTTGATCCATTCCACTATCCCCCACTTTCTCCTAAATTATCTATAATTCCTATTTATCTACTAAATTATATATAAATCATAATTCTCTCCTAAATTATCTCTAATTTAGCTGAGAGTTTTTCCCCAAAAATTATCTCTATTTCATATTTATCCTATCCCACTTTTCATCTATATCTAGGAAAAGAAAGTTGGAATTAAAAATTTTATGAGTTATTTAAATATTATAATGAAATTATGTAATAAATATAAAACATTTATTAAAAATATAAACAATCATCATAGATTTAATAATATTCATATTATTAATAATTTTATACTTTTAATAAATTCATAACAAAATTAATAAATTAAAAAATACTATTTAAAATACTCAATAAATAAATATTATAAATAACAAAAAACTAAAAATAGTTAAATATTATATAACAAATTATTTAATATTTTGTAATAACTTTAAAATAAACAAAATTTAAATAAGAAAAGTTTTTAAATATTTTACATTTTATTTAAATATTAAATAACTAAGTATTTTAAATAACGAAATATTTAATATAACTAAATTTTAAATAGTTAAAATAGCGAAATTATGTAATAAAAAATTAATAAAAGTAGAAAATCATTATAATAGATTTCATAATATTTGAATTAATAATGATTTTATATTTTACAAAATTAATAACGAAATTATGTAATAACAATATAACTTATAATTTTATGGATTATAAAATTCAATAAATAGTAATATTGAAACAACTAAATAATGATATCATTTAAATAGATAAATAATATTGTAAATAACTAATATTAAATATAAAAAATTAATAACTAGATCATATTTTAAATATCATTTAATAAAATTTTTAAATATCATTGAAATAATGAAAAATAGATTAAATAATTTAGAAGTATTGAAACTTTCAAATAACAAAAATAGGTAATAACTTTCAAAAAAATGTTTTAATAGATATTCTAAAATATAATAATAATTGCTATATTAATTAATAATAATTTATAATTATTAATAATAATTTATAATTATTAATAGTAATTTTAAAATATTAATCTATATTTATTATATAATTATATATATTAAAATTTATATTTATTGTGTTTTTATTAATTATTTATTGTATTTTTGTGATAAATATATTTTCAATAATTATGTATAAATCTATTTTTGCTTTATTATTTAATAGAAAATTTTCAATAATTATTGGTGATCAAACTATTTTTATTTATTAGAGATTAAAATATTAGTTTAGCTAAAATTAGGAGTGTTCACGAGTTGGATCGATTCAGTTGTAGGTTGTTTGGCCAACCAAATTAACCTGGCCGGTTAGGGTTGGTCACTTGAAACCAACCAACCATTAGTGAAAACCAGCCAACTTGGGTTATATTGGTTTGGGTCAATTTTTGGTTTGGTTGGTTGGTTCAAAAGATTTAAACTTAAAAATTAAATTTAAAAATTATAGTGGTATTATTAAAGAATAAATTAAAAAAATTAAATTTACAGTATAAAATATTTTAGGCTAAGGAATGTGGGAATTTTCCCACTTTTCCATGTTAAAAATTACAAATAAAATCTATCTTTATCCCCTCAAATAAAAAAGAAGATAAATTAGTGTGGAGACTTTAGTTGTGATGGAAAATTCTCAATTAAGTCTGCTTATAAATTAAAATGTAACTTGTCTATTCATGAAGAGTTGAACCCGAAGTGGAATTCGACTGTTTGGAAGGTTAATTGTCCACCAAAATTGAAAACTTTTCTCTATCTCCTGCTTAATAAAAGACTCCCAACAAAATTGATTTTGCAAAATAGAGGTTTAAGTGTGGATGGAAAATGTAGTTTTTGTGGAGATAATGAGGATGTGGATCATATTTTTAAAAATTGTACAGTTGTAAATAAATTTGGGATGCAATAAATCCCATTTTGGAGGGTCCTTCAGGATTTAATATTTCATTGGAAGATTGGTGGCCTAAAATTGGTAAGAAAAATTCAAATGGAGAAAACAATGAAAGAGAATAGTGTGCATTCTTATTATGGTACGTCTAGAAAAATGTAAACCAAAAATCCTTTAATAATGCATCAACCCCTATTCAAGTGGTGATTGAAAGAGCTCTATCGGCCTTTTCGGAATACTATGAAACCAATTTGAAGACTAATGGGGTGGATTCCCATAAGTCGTACAGATATGTTGTGTGGCAAACTCCAAAAATTGGTACTATCAAAATTAACTTCGATGCATCCCGGCTAAACAATGGGTTCTGCTCAGTCGTAGTCATAGCTAGGAACTTCATGAGTGAGGTGGTTGATTACAAGACTTACCACTTAGGTTCTACGACAATCAACTTGGCGGAAGCTTGGGCCACATGGGAGGCCCACAACTTGGCAATAAATTTCCCAAACCATTCCATCATCATTGAAGGAGACTACTTGATCGTGATTTCTTGTCTGAAACGTCTCATCGACCCCCCTGGAACCTTCAGAACATCATTGAAGAGTGTTTGGATTTGAAGAATCGTGCAAACGAAGACTTGGTCTACAATCATATCTATCGGGAAGCTAATCAAGCGGCATACTAGCTCGCCAATCAAGCCTCTTCGTCTCTACAGGGTACATTAAGTCTCAATCTTAGTGATCTTCCTTGGAATCTTGCTTGTATTTGTAAGTCTGATTTATGGGGATGTGCTACCCCCCGTTTTGTGTAGCCCCTCTTGGTTTTTACCAAAAAGAAAGATAAGTACTGATGCCGCACGATTTGGGCACTCCTAGCTAGCTGTGACCTGGCTTCTGACTGGAACGAACGGCACCTGAGAGGAAGGAAAAAGTGAAGGGTTCCCGGGGAGTTGTCCCGGTGGGAACACTCCGATGGCTAAGTTAGAACTGGAGGAAATCTCAAAGAGAGCAGTGAGTAAGAGTGCTCAAAGTGCTTAAGCTTCAATACCTTTTCTCTGTGTGGGTTTGGGTTCTTTTATGTTGGAGTCAGGTCATACCTGGCATAACCGCCACCGCTTTGGCCGTTACCGCCAGGACAGGCG